ACTAACACGGCTGATATGAGGTGGACATTACTTTTTACTTATGGGCTATAAGAGACATCAACCCACACATGCAGGAACAGGGCAAAAAGCATAACCACTCACCATTTCCTCGTCATTATTCTGACACATGGAGATGGCCTCTTGAGGAGGAACCATATTCCACAGACCATCGCTGCCCAGGATGATGTAGCGATGTTTTTTAGGGTCAAGAACCACGACGCTAGTGTCAGGCTCTGGAGAAACCACAAACTCTCCACTGTAGAAGTCGTAACTCCATAGATCGCCTGTGGCAGAAAAGGAAAACTTTAATGAAGGAACTACGAGCCACACAATGCTGTGTGACTGAGTCTAACCATCACTACCCTTTTTTCTTGAACTTAGAAGTAGCCTATTTGAACAGAACCTCTACGGAGCGCAGACTTTGTGCCCAATTGCTAGTGAAAATAAAATCATGGTTCTGGTACTCTGTTTTGTATTATTCTAGTCATCCTCACAGGTTCTTCACTGGGATTACAGTAAGTTAATGCTCCTACCTAAAGCTCGAGCTACTGCCAAGAATGGTATCTGGTCGATCACAGTACTACGACGGACTGGACCATTGTGGCTGAGTCTTGGCCTCTTCCACACCACCCGATTCACCCCAGACTTCTTGATCACGCTGTTCATACAGAGAGGAGAGAGAAGCTGCCATTTAGAAGAGTCAGACTACAGCAACAAGAATTACACACAGGTGCCAATCGATTCAATACAACCAACAAAAACATAGTCATACACATCACAAACACACAGCCTTTTAAAGACACACGTACATTTTTGACCTGCACTAATAGTCCAGTAGTGTGTGGCTTCAAGGCTGGGTTTGAGTATAGTCAGTTATAGTTAAAGGATATTAATCTGTTCAGGTAAGCAGCAGAAGGGACTGTGAATCGGTATCAGCTGCTCAGGTGTTAATGAAACTAACAACAGGTTCAGTTGAGGGGCAACAATGAGACAACCTCCAAAACAGGAACATTTAAAGCAGCATATTTATCTAGTAATGTCAGAAATAATACAATTCTCTCTTGATCAAAAAAAAGGTTGTTACATTCTATCAGCACATTAAAGTTTTACTGAAGAATTATTAAAAATTGGCATAAACTGTAGCAACATTTCTTTTAAATTAACAAGCGATGGACTTGGGGGGGTGGATCTGTAAATTGTTTTGTCTGTTTGTTCAGAGTTTATCTTCAGTTTCTGTCCCTGTTACATTAAAGTTTAATAATCACATTTAAAAATCAAACATAAAAATTAGGATTTCAGATTCTAATTGAAAAATCTATTTAGGTAAATGACAATGAAAGACAGTATTAAAGAAGATATATTTAAAACAAACTTTTATTCAACCTATGATGAAGACAGAATGGAGCAAGACTGAAAGGATTTTTTTCTTCTGTCCTGTTTTTTTAAGATGAATGTCGTGGTAATCAGTGACACGTGTTCATATTTCTTTGTGCACGGTAATAAAATCGGGACACTGCTTCTTATTTACCCGTTCCCATGGTAATTTGTTGTGTCGGGGCTCTGTTGATGATAGCTTTCTTTCCCTGTTCACGTATGCAATTAACTCAGAGTAAAGACACTCAGAGTGGAATGTTTTCAGAGCTAATCAACTCAGTTTTACTTTTTAACTTAGAGACTGTTGTTGTTCATGAAAACATGTTAGGGCCCTAATCAGAAAGCTTAAATATGAAGAAAAGCAGAAACAGTGACAAACACAGTAAATGGGAAATGGACTGGTACTTTTATAGTATTTTTTTATATACTAAATGAGCACTCAAAGTGCTTTTTACTAGCCTCACATGCATACGTTCATATATAAGCGCTTTTTTCTATGCTAAGAACCGTTTATAACATTTGTGCACACACTCACACTCTGATGGCTGCATCAGGGGCAAATCAGGGTTCAGTATCTTCCCCAAAGATACTTCAACATGCAGACTGGAGTAGCAGCTGGAAGACTGATTCTGAAACCTTCTGACTGGTAGATGACCTGCTCTGGCAACCACAGCTGGCCTCAAAAGCAGCTGTGGCTCAAAACAATGCTGTTTGATTAAAAGTAAAAATGAAAGCCGTCTGTGTGCAGGTGAACTTCTTTGTTTAGTTTACAACAATCTTTAAATTGGGCAGATTTCTGATAAACTCTGCTGCAGGTGGACAGCCCTTTTCAATCTGCAGCATGCAGGGTCGGGTCTAAAGGGGGGCATGGGGTGTACTATAGAGATTGACAGACCACGTGATTTTCGCGCATTGCATGCCAGGAACTCGTGGCAAAACAATCCAAGTACCGCATCAAATGCAAGCATTTGCAGCACCGCAAAACGTTCATTCTCCGGTTCCAATACCTTCTTGGTTTTTCTTTGCCCCCCAAAAAAGTTATGTACAAAACGAAGGAGAACAATGCCGGTCCGTACAAAGACAGACTTGGTGAAAATCAAAGGAGTGAAAGGTTTAGACCCTTATGAGCACACAGAGGGACAAAAGACGTTAGCGTGCTGCCCAACTTTCACCACGCTCATATTTATAATTATACGGTTCTTGGAGTGAGTGCATACACTCATGAAGTTTAGTGACTTCAGGTCACTGCAACAAGCCCCGGTACAGTTTACCGACGGATGGACCTTGAAATGCACCGTGTAGAACGAAAGACCATCGTACATATCATAAGTTTACCAGTCTCACAAATCGTCTTCATAAATACACATTCGTTAACGATTTATTAATAGGACCTTTGAGCTCAACGGTAATTAATTAGCAGTGGAAATAATTTCTGGTACGTGTTACAGAAATGTAGCAGTGACAATAATACTGTACGCTGTAATCGTACTGTGCAATTAGTGATACAAAAAAACTGTTTTACCCTGTGAATAAAAGTATATGCTTTTGTCAATGTAACATGGTAATAACAGAAGCGAAACGCAATATTGTGTCAGGACAATTCACTATTTATGCACAATAAACAAAGGAGCGACAATTTCTGTTCAGCGCCAGACTTGCTTGTAACCTATATCACCAATTATGTTATGAAAAATGACTATTAACTACTACAAAACACTTACATTTGTGGAAATGCTTGGAGCAGACTAACATGTGAGCTGGAGTGTTCTGGGACGTTATATTTGGTCTTCGAATGGCTGCAATCCAGGCCATCCGTCGGCTCTTTTTACTTCAGAAACATGGCTCGAACAATTTCTCTTCAATGACGTAATCCGTTAACAACTGATCTCTTTACCCATCGGCTTCCCGTGGCTGTCATGCAACCGGCTATTGCAGTTAATAACACAACAGCTTCTTGACATTTTTTGTGTTCTTTTTATCGCTGTGTAACTGATTTCAATTGAAAGCCTGCGTGCGCTAGTACCTCTTGCCACGAGTTCCCAGAATCCTTTGCGGTTTTACCCCCTGAATGAGTCACATTTTCAATCTCTATACTGTATTTTTCTTAAAGCTCAATTAATAGTTATTTGCAGGTTTAGACTTTTAATAACATTTACAAATAACTTATGTTACACTATTATAGATCAAATAAAACAGCAATATATAGAGTAATGAAAATTTGTATTTCCCCCATTTTTGGGATAGGACAGTAAACATTTACAAGGGATCTATAAAACTATGGGGTCAGTTGGGTGTTGGGGGTGACAACATGTTAGGCTGGGCCCTGCTTACCTTCCTCCTAGACCTTCAATACGCTCCCTCTCTTTGGGAAGTTCTGGTTTATGGTCCTGCGTGACTTCCACAGCTCGGATGAATGGGACTGAAGGGTCATCCTGGACACCTAGAACCACCGCAGAGTCCCCAACATGGGCCACATACATGCGGTTTCCTCTGAGCACCACTACACTGGCTGTGGTACCTGATGTACTAGGAAGGCCTGTAAGTGTCTTTGGCCATTCAGCTGAAAATACAGAAGGCAGAAAATTAACACAAGCTTGTTGTTTAGAAAACATTACTGCACAGTGTTGTGAGGTACACCCAACAGACAGGTAGGACATACTGGCTTCTTACATATCAATGTGCACTGATCTGTTTTTGTTTACCACGCTAAAAGACAAGTATGTGACCTCAAGGTCGGTTTTTATTTGTCCAGGAGGTAGTTTTATAAGCAAAGTCACACATGCGCTGTACAAGCACTTTGTGTGTGTACATATAATCTGTGACCAGCTGGAAACAGCTGACAAGTCCGAACATATCCAACCAGACACCTGAACACACTGCCGTGGTCCAAGGCATACACGGACTAAATAGAATCGAGGAGGCGTTACAAACTACGTCTCTGTAACGACACACTAGATTGAGGCCAGTGAGACCATAACATTTTGTGGGTTTCCATTATACATTAGATTGTGAACATACTTCTGAACTGTTCGGTGTCTGCTGTGACAGGCTTTGTTTGGCGAATACCGGGCGGCTACAGCTAACTTCGTTAGCTCCGCTAATTCCAATGCTAATTCCAACATTTACTTATAACTTGATCTTAATTGAACAAACAAACAAACAGAGCCTGGGCATAATGGCGAGGAACTTGCTGGGGTATCTGGCAATTACCTAGCTCTCTGGTCGAGATCTTTCTTTTTAAGGCTCTACTGAGCCCGTGGAACATTCTAGTAAATCCGGCTTTCATAGAGCTAGCAATGCGCTACGGTCGGTGAACACTCAGCTGGGTGTAGGCCAGATAATATATTCTGATTTTGAGGTTTGGCGTTAAGTTCACGTTACTTAAACACAGAGAAGCACAAAGTAGTAACAGCTTTTACGTGTCACAACTTAATAGTTTAAGTAAACTTACGCAGTTTCTTCCACATAGCATGGTGGCATGCCACAAATCCTTTGCGTATGGCAGAGCAGACCTCCCGGTCACAGTCTGACCAGAATCCCCGCTGTTTCTTCATAAACTCCCAAAGATAGTCTCGCGCAAACTGCGCAGCCTCGCGACCCCCGTGACCATCAAAAACGGCAAAGAATGCTACGGAACGGCGGGAACAAGTCGGGGTGTTCGGCTGAACTTGCGGCGTGCTTAGATCTCCTGGTGACGGCGTTTCTACCGATATACCCTCGTCTTCTGTTTGTACGAGTTCACTGGATGCGTTTAAAACCTGCGGGGACTCCACGGTTTTATCGGCCCGGTCGGGATACGTGTCCCCAACCAGAGAATTGAACGTGTAGTCTCTCCGAATGTTCTCCTCTGGGTCACCAGTCATCGGCTCATTTTCTCCCGGCTCAGGCTCTACTATGACCTCGGTCACATCTTCCATGTATTTCCTGCCTCCTTGATCGGTAAAAACACTCACTCGCATCAGTAATGCGTTTTCCATGGCTCCAAAGTTGAGGCCCGCTCCAATTTTATTTAATATTGTTAGCATATACAATAGAAAGACAGTACAAATTATCGCAGAGCCGTGTCCTGCCTTTGTTTATGTGGAGTGTAGTAGGCATGCTCGAGCGTGTTGACGTCAGAATTTCCCTTCTTCTTGTACGTAGACGTGGCAAAGCAAGTGCAGCTGTCACCGGAGTGCTGTTGCCCTCTAGAGGTCTTGCTCCGAGCCAAACCGCGACTTAAGAGCAGAAATATTGACTTTAATGGGGTGGTCACGTCAATATAAGGTGGTCATCAAAAAGAAACCGCGTTTCCAATCTGCAAGCGTATGAAACCAAATGAAATCCTAATTCTGTTACTCTTGGTGGTACACATACAATTTTCCAGTTGGTCACCGCAGGTCAGGTCTAGTGCAGACAAGTCAGTGTATTGTAGTGCTGGGGAACGCGAGGCTTTGTCAAAGCAGAGGTTTCCAAACAGACACACTTCTCTACAGCGACACCTACTGGACACCTTTGCTGTTGTCGCCGTGATCCTCAGCAACACAGACAGGTATTGCACATTTCTAAACAAAGTTAAATATTATACCAGACTGTCAGTAATTGTAATCAACTAGTATATTGATGCATGCTCAATCATCCAGATAAGAAAGTTCCAAAACGCTGATAATGTTCATCTGGACGTAGCGTGGGAAAAACGTGTCGTCACTCATCCAACTGTCAGCTGACTGCAGGTTTCCCCAAATATTATAATCAGTAGTAATGTCTGAATAGTGAGCCGTGAGCTCAGTTTCATGATGATTAATATGCAAATTGTTGTGAGTACTATTCACAGACAGTAGTGAAAGGCGCAAAGCACAATAAAATAACTTTAAACAACATATATTGATAAAGGCTGTTATGTTTATTGTGATAACCACATAGATTTTGTTGATTTGAATGTTGATTGCTTTGTACATAGGTTAAGTGTGGGCCTTATTAATGGTTATGGAAATCTGTCTTCTACGGTGAAAGTCTGAATAATTGTAGCTACATGTGGCCCACGTATGGCCCACTTTGATCATGCATGGGGCGAATCAGTTTGAAGACCTAAGTAACCATTTAATCCCTGCAATATTGTAATGGAAGATGGAAGTGAAATGCCCATTGTCTGTCTCAGTTTTTCTACATGATAAAGAAATGCTGCTGTAGTAAAGAAAGAAGTAAGAAATTAATGTGTAAATTACAGGAAGAGTTCTGGTAATTGTCCTGATTTTTTTATTTTTTTGCTAGTTTTTTAGTGTGAAGTCACTCTAAAAGACACACACACATGCATTTCTATAGTTTGTAGTCTGGAAATTAATTGTTTATATATTACTTATTTACTTAAGTGTAGTTTGAATTGCTGTTCATAAAGTTTTCAGAAGAAAAGCTGCAAAACTTTGGTGGGCCAATTCTGGCCCCCGTGCCTTATTTTTGACAACCCTAGAATAGGGTAAAAAAATTAAAAAATTTAAAAAAAATTATTTATTTTTCCAGTTAATCAGACATTTTTGGTTGGAGTCGGCTTATTTATTTATTTCTAATTAATTAAATTATGAATTTTTAAAAACAAATTTCCTCCCCTCTTCTAATTTTTTAGAAGTGTAATGCTGGCATGTATTTAAAAATCAGCTATTAAGTGTTATTTTTATACTGTTTCTGTTCTACCGTTTTCAAATAAATATAGACTTTGATTAATTTGCAAGTTTTTATTGTTAAATGGAAACACACCAAAATGAAAGCTGCGTGCTAGCACGTAGACTCTATAGTGTTTGATTTCAAATCCAAATACAATAAAATTTAAAGCTAAATGGCACGCAAATAAGTTTCACTCTGTCACATTTATAAGCACTAAATAAACCTTGTTTAGTCAATATCAGACCTGACAGTAATACTGGTCCTATGGCACGCTCTAAATGTGCAGCAACTATGTAAATTTCACAAATGGTAATTAACCTATATGTAAAAGCTACCCAAAATGACAAGGTCACATATGTGGTGAGCTAATGCATTTCACAGTATCAGAACAGTAACTGAAAGCCACAGGAAAAAAACGTGACACAGAACATGAGAGACACATCTGGCCCTTCAGATGATTCATTTGCTGTTACTAAAGCCTCATCAGAAATGATTTCAGGAGAAGAGTGGCCGTTTAGAAGCCATTCTTATAAAAGAGAAAGGTTTGTCTTGTCTTGACTTATAATCTTGGTAGAATTCTAAAAACTATGTATTAAGATGTTTCAATAGATTGCTGCACCTCTTTAGCATTTTTCTAAAAACATATAAAGAAGTGAGAGGTGGCCCATGATTTTTGGAGAGAGTAATATCCAAGAAAAAACAAAACTGGAGCTATATTTGTCTTCTTCCCAACCGACACCACTATAACCAAAAACAAGAAGCATTTTATTCTTTAGAGACATCCTACACCCTCTGAATGGCATTATTTTGGAGAAAGAGTCATACTGAAGCGGTGACAGTGAACCTGAACACACCTCAAATCTTTGTTGACCAAGCAGTGGTGTCTGTCACCACTGCTTGTCCTTCTTCTGCAGTCATCTGACCTCAGCCCAGTTGAACATATATGGGACACTTGGTTAAATTGTATTTACATAGCACCAAATCACAACAACAGTAGCCTCAAGGTGCTTTATATTGTAGGGTCAGAGAAAACCTCAACAATCATATGACCCCTTATGAGCAAGCATTTTGGTGATGGTGGGAAGGAAAAACTCCCTTAGAACAGGAAGAAACCTCACGAGGAACCAAGCTTGGGGAGGGGCTGTGGAAGTGAGCCACAGATTAATAATAACAAACAACTGAGGAAACATCTGTGATATTACAAGATGCTTTTTAGGGCTTAGCCTCACCATACTCAGTTACTTTGTTCATATGCACCAGTGGGGTACATGTAAATGCTCCTTTCATTAAAGGTAAAATATTCTGCATATTTTATATAGGTTCAACATTTCACTCAAAATTTCTCTTAATTTCACAATAAATGAAATCTAGAATCACATTCACCTGTTGTAACAAAGTTTCGAGTCAGTGTAGTGCATTTTCATTTCCCCACAGTCAGTACTCCTTATTTCTATTTAGACACATTTTGTAACACATTTCGACATTTTTGGTGCAATGATTGGCTGTCGTTAGAGTTTTTATAGCCACATTAAATATAAAGGAATTGTAATAAATTTGACACATTTTTTACGAAATCAAAGCGCTGGTCAGGTACATTAACATTAAACAAGTAAAGGATTTTTGTTTTCTGTTGCCATTTGTTATGATGTGTGTTTGTTATCTGCCAAATAAGGAGCACGGCTTCTTCACGGAAACACGAGTGGGTGGTTGGTACATTGCTTAAATGGGCAATCGTCGGTAAATTCATCTTTTTACTTTATGTGAAGTGTGACTTTTTACTTGGAGCCTGTTGGTTCAGCATCGACTGCACAATGACGTCATTGCGTCAGCGCCCGTGAGTGTGTGCGTCGGGACGGGGGCACGGAACTGCTGTAGGGTCGACGAGTAGTCGAAGATGAAAGAGAAGGATGGAAATGAAACAGCGGTTTTTTAAATCGAGACACTGACTTGTCTGCAACAATAATATTCGTAGTGTCAATACGGAGCGAATGTTGCATGAGGACTCGCAGAAGAAGGGCTTCAATCGTGGTAAGGTAGTGAATGTAAGGAGAGTTGAGGAGGGCTGTAGCTTCTGGGGCTTTTTTGGAGAGGGAAAACAACATGGCTGCGGTGGAGCTCGAATGGATCCCAGAAACGTTGTACAACACTGCTATCTCGGCTGTGGTGGACAACTACAGCCGGTCAAGAAGGGACATACGGTCCCTCCCAGAAAATATACAGTTCGACGTCTATTATAAGGTAGGATTTAGCAGTAAGGAGACTCTCAATGATGTGACAGCTAACATCCTGTGCGAGTTTCTGTGGTCGGCTGCTAACACTGCTTGCTAACGTTAGCGAAATGTCGGTAACGTTAGACTAGCTATCGAAAATTCCTCCTTAGGAATCTGATTTGGCTAACGAACAAGTTATCCAGCTTCAACCGTTCTCGACATTACAGAAAGCTAGTGTGACAGTGTGTGTGTTGAAGCGGATTATTAAACTGCATCGAGACTGTCGCTAATTACCCAAGTGTCCATTTAAATGAACTGGTTCCGTGATGTGTGGTGTTTTTTGTGTTGTCATGTCCAGGTCTGACCCACTTTGGCTAAAGTGACGTTAGCCGTTCTCACATATAAAGCGCATCGCTTACAACATACGTGTGCTTTTACAAACAATCACCATCAGCTTTCCATAAAGACGGACTGTAACCTTGACAGAGATTCTTTCTTTCTTTCCTTCTGATACGTAGAGTTGTTAAGTGTCACACCGAGGTCAGGCGTCACAGACACAGGAAGGATTTTAAAAACATGAAGGTCGCGAATACAGCATGTTTCACAGTTACTCGATCTTCACCCACCAGATAATTCCAGATGCCCATAAAATGTACACTAGGATCTGATATTTGTTTAATCTACGGGTGCATCTTTAGATCCTTTACTGATGTATACCTGTAACTCTAATACTTTGACGGAAAAAACCTTTAGTCCACCCAGTCATGGTATGCTAACTATTTAGTAATGATAAAAGTAACACCATATGTTAAAACCAATAGCGTGAGAAGTGTAAAAATCCCTTGAGTGTTCTCTTTGTGGTTAATATTGTAGCCACAAATATGTGCAAATGTGTTTGGAGATTTTGTTTGTAGTTGCATGTCATTTGGATCGAGGTTGTAAATATAAAAAATGTAGTGTAACACCAATCTATCAAACTGAGAGGCCTGTCTAAATAACTGATTGTGACTGCAATAACAACAACTTGTCATCATTTCCAGCTGTTGAAGAAAAGATTTCAGACTTCTCAGCCATTTCTCTCCCCAGCTGCATATTTACAGATTTATTTGCACATTAGTAAATCTAGGTACACTTAAGAATGCAATTATAGCCAAAAACCATTTGCAGATTTCTGTAAACATCACAGTAGGCCTGTAGGCAACTGAAGAAAATCATAGTCGACTGAAAAAAGTTTTCAGCCAATCGATTGGATGCAGCGATTGAGGGAAATCTGCGCATCATTTTTAGATTAACTAAATAGGCCATAGTGCACTCAGTGTATTCAAGCCTCTCAGCTTTATTAGCCCAAGTAAACAAAGTGAACCTAGTTTGTTTTATAAGTATGACAGACACCAGGTTAGTGTGCTGCTGTCCATATTCATATCATTTCTGATATTGGAACAAAGTCGTCAGTGTAAGAAGTATTGTAGAAAAATAGCTACAGGCAAAAATGCCCTTATCTTGGATCGATCTTGATTTTCCTGAGAGACGAGGTTTCACATCCAGCTTGGCATGGTTGTAGTTCATTTTACTGGCAGGTGCTGCAGCCATTGAAGCTGTCACTGGTCGGCCTGTCTTAAATACATATACATATATATATTGACCAAAAATGCTTAAATGTACCAGGTTCTAATATGATCACACTCAAAACTTCAAACATTAGACATATAAGCTAATGGGAACATTTTGTGGCAAATTAGCAATCAGAATATGCTGTTGTTAACCTGCAAACTGCAATGTGCCCCCCCCCCTCCCAAAGGAAAAAAAAATAGAGCTTCACGTGCATTAAGACAGGGGCCAATGGAGCTAAGAGCTGGGGCAATTTGGTAACTTTGATTCATGTAGTCCTTCTGTTTATGTGCGCCTCTCTCTGAGTCTTAAGACACGGATGGAAAAATAATTAGTTTTACTCCACGTGTCTTAAGGCTAAGTTGGGAAGAAATTGGGCACTGTGGGTTTCTGTGTGTTCTCATGATTTATAGAGCAGTCACTGGAAATTCAAAACACTGCCTCCTGACCAATCAGTGTTTAGGAAAATGGTGTCTCTCCCAGGAAGATCCCTTTGGATAGTGAGAGGGTCTGAAGTTTTTTAGTAGTGTCAGTTTGTTTTTCCCTGATGAGCAGTAGTAAGGGGAAATATTCCTTATGAATAAATATTCATATTCTGTGTTCCTTGATTATTATTATTATTATTATTAGGTTTTATTTTCTCATTGGTTGCAGATAATTTTAACATGAAATTATTCTCTAAAAAAAGGCTCCTCTTTGTACTTGTTGAACTTATTATATTCAATTTGCAAGCAGTGGTTTGAATTCCATTTTATTTATTTATTCTGAGCTTTTTTTCTCACACCAACAACACGACAGCAGCTGGAAAACAAACTAAAATGGTGCTTTTGCAGTGTTGCTGACCAAAGTGCTTAAACGTTCAGATAAAGAAATGATATGCTGAGTGTGCTAAACTTACTTTGTGCTGCAGGTTCCAGATAGAGTCAAGGTGACATAAAACCTTCATCAGACACTGTCAGTGGTCCAATAGTAAGATGTTATGGTATAAAAGTTTATTATAAATTTTCTCTTTTCCAACAGTTAGAATTAAACCTTTAAGCTGTCAGACAGCTCGTCTTTACACTTATGGAAAAGGGGAAAAGAGAGCATTTTCAATTGTGTTTGTATTGATTCATTAACATTTAAAAATACATGTTTATTGTCCTAGTGAGCACAAACCAAAGTCATTTTAGAAGCAACATTAAACACAGAAGCGATCTGAAACGCCACTGGGCAGTTACTTTAAAACCCGTACAGACTTGAATGGGGAGAGAATTACAAGTTTAGGATAGGCTTTTATTGTCATTGTACATGTACAACAAAGGTTTGGGTGTTCTGCACCATCTGTGCATTTCAGTGGTCACCGTGACATAAACCCAGTAAAAACTATCTTTGTTTTTCCCTGAAAGTTTTTCTTCTGCTACAAATGCACATGATTCTGTTACTTTCTTACGCTTTCGTTAACATTTTCTCCTTTTATATAATGACTCTGGTGCAAATCCAGTAAAAGCGTGAATAAATATTTTCTGTAAATAAACCAAAAGGCATTTTTCCTTAGAGCTCAGATGCCCCAGTTCCCAGGAGAAACACACTGACATGAAGTCTGGGGCATGGACTCGATGTGCTCAGTGCCTCCTAACATGATTAGGAAAGCACAAAAACACAAGTGCTGGTTTACCCATTTTGCTGATGTGTTTTTGATATGATATACTGGAGTTTTGCTCAGTGTGCTCAAAGTCTGCTTTGGACTAATTCATGTGAAAATGCTGTCACGAGTTTAAGCCATTACAATAAATTGAAGGTACAGCTGTAACAAACGTGTCAGTTTTCATCAAACACAAGCTAGCATCTAAAAGCTGAGTGCTGTGGTTCTGTTCTGTGTGCACTGTGGAGGTTCCTGTCAGTTTCAGCAGTTTGCTGAAACATAGCACATGGTGAATTCACCAGCACTGACACTAGAGCTGGGCGATAGAACGATAACGATATGTATTGTGAAATAACTTTTTCTCGATAGAAAAATGAAACTATTGCGATAGACTTCATCTCTCTCTCTTCCTCTCTTATAAAAAAATGAATAGCCAATACAAATGTAAGTAGCGCAGAGCCGAACCAATCACAGCCACAGCGTCACGTTACTTAACTTGTTAGGCACAGCTCAAGTGCCAAGCCACACATGTGTATTTGTTTGGGAAGCAGCCAGCCGCCATGTCGGCCGGGTAATGGAGGAAATGAGTGTGCCGACTAGAGAAAAATCAACCGAGAGCTTGGGTGACCAGGTTACCGAAGAGAAAACAGATGACGGTTCCAATGCCGGAGAGATTGTCGAAAGGAAAGGCCAGAGAAGTTCCGTAGTGTGGAGGTATTTCGGCTATTTGAAGTCTGACAAAAAACAGAGTAACGTGCACTGTAAATTGTCCTGAAAGCATGTTCCCACAAAGTCTGGAAATACAACAAACCTTTTTTATCACCTGAAGCAGTGCCACCCACTAGAGCACGCTCAACCATGGGGAATCCCTGCGAAGCAGCAACAGTCAATTGAGTCGGCTTTCTCCAGCGTCTTACCATATGACAAAAAAGCTAAGAGACATAGCAACATAACGAATGCCGTAGCTTACTGTCTTGCTGAAGACATGCTACCAATAAACACGGTCGAAAAAGAAGGATTCAAGCCGCTAAAAGTTAGTAAATTTTGTCTCTTCCTCTGTAAAACAAACTAAGATTTATTTTTAGAATTAATATTTTGTTTCTAAGTGGAATTGACAATTTAGTCTGTTTTGTTCTATTTTGAAACTTAAATGCTTTAGCGGCTACCTTTTGTGTAGTTTGTAATATTTGCCTTTATTTTGCCTAAACTGAAGCCTCATTTTAAGTACATCTGCCCTGTTGAACTTATTATTGGAAATAAATATTTAAATCTAAACAAGCTGCTGATTATTTCACATTTTACTTGTGAGCAACGGCACATTTAAATCTTACAAATATAGTTATTTGGCTTATATCGTGATATATATCGTTATCGCCTGAAATGAAAAAAACATATCGTGATATGAAAAAATCTTATATCGCCCAGCTCTAACTGACACTGATCTGAATGTCATTAGTAATACTGGAGAAATTCAAATATTAACCTTCTGATGTTAGGTGACGGGTCTTTTTACCAGTGTGCCAAATCATCCTGAGGGCAACATGAACATCTGTGGAGTTCATGCTAGAATTTTAAGCACCGTTCTAGACAATTGTCACTGTGTTTTTACACACACTATGAAATGGTGACACATAAATGGCACACACACCTAATATCATGAAGTTGTCTTGTCCACACTGCACACGTTTTCCTGTTTCTGGTTCCCACTGCCCTCCACAGCTAGGTGACTACTTGCGAGTAGAGCGTTTGACTTAAATTACAAGCACTGAAAGGTTAAAGCTGCACAACCAAAATAACGCCCCAGTACAGCAGTGGCTGCAGTACAAGTTTTCATTAGGTGAGATTTTCATGCAAGAACCTTGGAGAGAGACATCTGTGATTAATAGTTTAAGGATTATATGGATTATACTGTCTGTGTCCACAAGTGTACGAGGGTCTATTTAATCTGAGTGGTGTTGATTTTCTTATCAGAAGTGATTGTGATGCTCTGTATGGACATTCCAGGCAGACTGCAAGCAGAGTTGGAGGGTGGGGTCCACAGCAGCCCACGTGCATGTCCATAAACAAGCATAATCCTGGCTCAGTATAACAGTTTCCAGCTCAGTGCACTTTGATGACAGGCCAGACATCAGCAATTTTTTTTTTTTGGTTTAAACTCCTGTTCAGCAGACAACATTGGTTGCATCACTTAAAGCTTCACTCCTGTAGTTACAGGTTAGACTGTCATTTACCTGCAGCTGAAACATTGGTTCCCCTGCACATTAAGAAATTTGACTTGTTACCTGTAGAGATGACATCTGTTGTACTGTTACTGAATCTCATTTCTCACTGTGCTGTGCTCTCAGCTCTACCAGCAGGGTCGACTCTGCCAGCTGGGGGGAGAGTTCTGTGAGCTGGAGGTGTTTGCTAAAGTGCTGCGGGCTTCAGACAAAAGGTAAGAACATAATGAGGCCAAACTGTGCCCATCACTCTCCTAAAGTAGTTTTCACACATCCACTGCAGTCCTAAGCAGGTTCAGCAGAGTCTGAGATTAACCGTAAACTGCAAGTTGATTACCTTTGAGATCAGTTAACTCCGGGTACGTTCACCTTGAGTTTAGTGTGTGCGAGTAGGGAAAGAAAGCCACCTTCAATGGAGCTTTGATAGCACAATTCACCATGGCAACACGTTAAATGAAAAGCAGAACTTCCATCTTAATCCAGTAAAACGAGAAATATTAATATTCCTAACCTTTGGATACCCTTTGACTACTAAACATAGAGGAAGTATACACGTATATGTCACTGTACACTGGGATGTTAAACGTTAAATTTAGGAGGGTAGAAAAGAGTCATTTTAATCAGCTCTGGCCACGTTGTCATCAGTAAAGATGGTATTTGGAGTTTGGGGAATGCCGGTTTTTTCATCAATCACCAAACTTGCATTTTCATTTGTTCATACTGGAATCCTCTTTTTTTTCCCAACAGTGGATGGAACCAGTTTTTACACTGGAACCAAGCATATGTTCAGTCGGGTTCCCTTAATGATGTTAAACATGTTTTTAGGTAACCAGAGAAATCAGTTTTTAGCTCTTTTTCATGTCCATTCGAAGTTTGAAACTCTTTTGTCCACTCTGTTAAATGTAGTGTCAGGCAGACTGATAGGTGTGAAACACTAATGATGCTGGAACAGAGAGGAAGGAAGCAATGTCCATCAACCAAAACTACTATTGTGATTGCTTCCATCATATAATTTCTAACTAGAGAATTTAATTATTGTTTGTAGATCGTTGAAAACACATTTGACACCTTTCATCGTAGACATTGTTTCATGTGAATCTTCTTTAGACTGAGGAATGCCCATATATGGAAATGAGATCCCTTCTGTATGACGAGGACATCAACTGCGTACACTGACCTGTTGTTCATTTCTTGACGGTCCCTTGTGTGATATTCTAACTGCTAGTTAACTGTGCCAGGTGTTCTGTACAGTAGGGATGGTGCCATGCTGTCTACGACCATGTCTGATAAGAATCTGTTCACGCCAAAAGCTGCTTCTGGACTGGATTTTTTTATTTTTTGTGTTTCCTGCAATTTGACTGTTGACCCGATGTCTCCCTTTGACCTCATCACTGCAGACACCTCCTGCACCACTGTTTCCAGGCCCTGATGGACCACGGTGTGAAAGTGGCCTCAGTTCTGGCAAACTCCTTCAGCCGCCGCTGCTCCTACATCGCCGAGTCTGACGCCCACGTCAAAGAGAAGGCCATCCAGTTTGGCTTTGTGCTGGGTAAATGTCAGGGCTGGGCAGTGGAGGCTTCAGATAAGCACTGTGTGGGATAGAAGTGCAGAGCTGTCCTTATGTTAGGTGGTTGATAACGTACAATATAAACAACATATAATTTGGGCCATATTAGGGCTGTCGATATGACCAAAATCTCATATCCCGACATAAAACATCTATCGTCCGATAACGATATAAATCACAAAAATGTAACATTTTCTGTAAA